AAAAAACGCAAAAATTCAGATAAAAATAACTATTTGATGAGACTACGTTTTTGTTGTGCAACTTAGAACTTACAAAATACTGTAAAACAATCTCATTGCTGCTCTTAAAAATTTAAAAGACAAGACTGTGTCCAGCTTCTCCACTAAACTCAGATATAATATCCAGTTACTTTCAGCACCCAACTTTTCCAATAAACGCTTACCATTGTTATGTGCAGTTGTGCTATAATCCAAATATAGTTTGCCTTTTTTCCAACATTTTTCTTAAAATCAGTACTGAGGATGGAAGTTATCATTTCTACTTCAGAAATTTAAAGTCAGATTTTAAAATCTGAACTAGCCACCACAGTTTCTTTATAGTCCAGAAAGAGACAGGTAGGCCCTGACTAATGATTCAGGCTCATCCTAAAACAGCTGGGAAGCACTGGCCTCAAAAGATGCCTCTCTCTCTGTACAGACTATACCGAGAAACTTTCCAAGACTGCATGTCTGAAGCTAGATGAACCCCGAGAACTCAGAAAACTTATTGCTTTTGTTAACATTAGGATTAGTGAAGTCACAAAAACTTTATAAAGCCCAGTTTATTTTTCTGATACGTTAAGGTGTACAAGAACAACAAAAAAAACCCCAGTCAGATTCACTTTCTACTCAAGTGAACTAAAAAAATCACTGGGGTTGTTTTTCCCTTTTGCTTGCTTTTTACACATGATGAAACATCTAAGCACTATAGTGGCTTTTAAAATCTGCGTGTCAGTCCCCAAATTTAAAAGGAAAACCATGAAAATAATTTTTTCTTAAAATAAGAAATACAAAAAGACAAAGTATCTGGTTTTAGTCAATTGCTCTATTTTTCAGGCACTTCTACAATTGACTGAGATCTCAGAAAGCTTTTTTGTTGTAATACTCTATTCTCAAGCTCATTAATACTTAAATTGTATCTTGAACCAATGAACCCAAACTGAGAAACATTTTAGGTATGTAAAATTAGATAAACCAACCTGGGAGAGTTTTTCATTTGCAGCCTTCATCTCCATGTATTTAGCTTGATTTTCCTGCGACATGTCTTTTATTATGTCATCTGCTACAACCTTTTCACGTTCGATACGTTCTTCTACCTCTTGAATTAACTTTTCTGTGCTGTAAAACCAGAATGGTTTTGTAACTTTTACTAGTTGATGTTTATTTTAAGCACCTATTTCAAACTCTGGTATTCCTTCAGCCTGACTGAAATAACACAAAAACTCCACAGACTCTAAAAAAACGAGTTACCTACTTGTACCTAATCTTCTTGGAGTTGGATTAGCTCTATGAACATTCACACCATGTGATGCAGAAGATGAAGAATTATTTTCCCTTACAGTACCCACATAGTACTTTCCAACACTCCCACCCTATCTACATGCGTAGTCCCCAACCCTGGCAAAAGTAGGGGTAATGGTTTTAAATTAAAAGAGGAGAGGTTTAGACTAGATATAAGGAGGAAATATTTTACGCTTATGGTGGTGAAGCACTGGAACAGGTTGCACAGGGAGGTGGTAGATGTCCCATACCTAGAAACATTCAAGGTCAGGTTGGATAGGACTCTGGGCAACCTGATCTAGTGGAAGATGTCCCTGCCTACTGGAGGGGGGTTGGACTAGATGACCTCCATGGTCCCTTCCAACTCACACTATTCTGTGATTCTACTCCCTCTAAGTTGCTCTCAATCAGTGAATTCCTGGAATAAGAACAGGCAGTCTGGTATGTGATTTCTGAATGCACATAAAGAAAACGTATTATATAGACAACAGGACTTGCCTGTGCTGGATAATGATGATGAATTTCTTTTAGCAGTGGATTGTTGGATTCCTTAAGAATGGAGAGCAGCTTCAGAGATTTAGGCAGTGTGGAGATTCTTAACCATACAAAACCTAAGAAATTAGCCATTACTGGCATTCTTGATTCATGACTGTAATCTCACTAGGAAATCGACGGGCTGCAACCATAAAGACTTCTCTACCACTGCAGCTATAGTGAGTCCAGGTTGTCAGTGTCTTGTTCAGGGAGGTTTTGAGTACCTTCACAGATAGAAACCCCACAACTTCTCTGGGCAATGTTTTGATGCTTGGCCACTCTTGCAGTAAAAAGAGTTTTTTCTTACGTTTAAATGGAATTCTTTGTTCTCCAATTTGTGGCCATTATCCCTTGTCCTACCTTTGGTACCACCGACAAGAGATCAGTTCCATTTTCTTTACTCCTGCCCATCAGGTATTTGATAAGATATCTACTAAGCCTTCTCTTCTAGAGATTAAACAATTTCAGCTCCCTCAGTCTTTTTTCATAGTTTTCACCACTTCCAAGGAATTCTCAGATCAAAAAGTGTTAACCAGTCTTCCAGCTGGCTTCAAGAAAGATCTATAGTCTCCAAGAATCTGTGGATGCTAAGCAGAAATTCTGTCAGGTTAGCAACCCATGCTGCAAAGATGCTTTGGAGCTTTATGATGAAGAAGCAAATCCAAGTGATTTGCCACTTTTTGTGGCAAATTTGGAAGTGCTCTGGGACAGGGACTGCCCAAGTGTCATGGCTTTAACCTGGCTGGCAGCAAACACCACGCAGTTGCTCGCTCACCCTACCCTGTCCTGGGGGATGGGGGAGAGAATTAGAGTGGTAAAGGTAAGGAGACTCATGGGTTGAGACAAGAAGAATTTAAGAATTGAAATAATAACAATAACAACAACAATAATAATATACAAACAAGTGATACACAGTGCAGTTGCTCACCACCCATTGACCAATGCCCAGCCCATGTCTGGCTAGAAATACCAGAGGATCCTGGAGGAGAGAAAATCACAAAACTGCAATCCTGAAAAGAAACCCTCTTCCTGGACAATCCTCATCTACACACCGAGCATGACATTGTATGATATGGAATACCCCACTGGCCAATCTGGATCCATTGCTCTGGCTATGCTCCCTCCTAGCTTCTTGTGTACCTGTGCACTAGCAAAACATGGGAAGCTGTAAAGTCCTTGATTTCTTAGCAACAACTGAAAAATTAGTGTCTTATCAACATTCTTCTCATACCAAATCCCCACATTGAATCCAAAACACAGTGCTAATCTAGCTATGGAAAGGAAAATTAGCTCTATCCCAGCTGAAACCAGGACACCAAGAAATACTGGATAGTTGTAACATGACTTTAAAAGGAACACCTTCCTGAGAGTAAAAATGGTTTGTTCAGATCCAGTCCAAAGAATGAGGCCCTCACTGTAAGTACACCACTCTGTGAATGGATAAGTATGTTACGCTTGGTAATGGAAAGCAGCAAATTTTTAAGTGAAGCATGTTCTTAAGCTATGAGAGCAGTTTGATTCAAGATCCTCTAGAAGGCACAGAACTGGGTGCTGGCAGTGAGCTTTCACGTTACTTCCTTATTGGAGGCTCTTCATTCCTCAATCTGGGCCTATGAAAGCTGTTGCAAGGTCTCAGCAGTGACAGTTTCTCTCAAATCAAACCAATCAGAAGACATAACAGAATGAAAACTGAGAAATTGCAGTTAAGAATTCAAGAAAACGTTAAGGTTGCTGATTTCCAGAAAAAATTTCCACACTAGATGTAATTCACCTGGAGAGACTGTCAGTGCTGATCATAGGGAGCTTGTCTTTATGTACAAACAGGGTGCCTTTTTCTGGAGATCACAGAGACATTTAGGGAGGGAGAGAGGAATACAGCTTTCTCCATTTCTCATGTGTTCCATAACACTATTTGGAAGCAGCTGCCACCGTTGAGCTCAGTGGTGTCTCCAAGCTCTACTGGATTTCGTTCATCTATGCCTGAGACTGCAAGTATGCATGGCAGAGTAAGGAAAGAAAGCCTACTTTTCCAGGTCCATCAATGTAAACTGTGTGTGGGCATGTTACAGAGCAGCCTCTTTACCTGAGGCAAGTCTCTTTTTCCTATGTGATATGGACTCCTGGCTAAATACTTCAAGGTGATCCAGTATGTCCTTGAGATAAGAAATGTCTGATTTAGCTGTGATGCATCTTCTCTCATAGAAATCTTTTGACAGAAGGTTACCTTCTAAGAGGCAATAAAAATATCAGCAACGGCTGTCGCAGGAAGACAATTCATTACCACAACTAATTTGAAGACTATTGATGAAGCTGAATCAGGAATGAGGCCTGGAAAAGTTGCAGAATGTTTTGAGATATCAAGCAAAACATCAAAGTGGCAATAACATCAAAGAGGGACAGTGACATAAAATAGTTTCTACAGCCACGTATTTGAGAGGAATGGAGAATGAGAGGAGACTGAACCATCTGGTAGTTGGACACTGTGCATTGGACAGAATGAGGCTTAGAGAATGAGCACCAATTAAAAAAAATGTATTGGACATAGTGTTTGTGTATCAATACAATCCCTTTTTCAACCTGCATATAGACATGCTCTCAAATCACAGCAAGTACAATTTTTTTTAGAATTTATTCCTGAAATATAGTCCATATAACAGATGTCCTTAAATACCTGCAATTCTTTGTAAATAATGAGCTTTATATATTACACCTCACAGCTCCTCTAATGCTGATGTTTCCAAAACACAAGAATTTAAGCCAGATTTAACTAACTACTAAAGATCTTTACTTCAGTATGCAAATATCTTGAAATTTTCTTCATTTGATGATGATCACATAAAAAATGCAAGACTTTTTCTGTCTCCAGCATTTCTTTAATTGATTATAACATTGTAAATTCCCAGTGGCATTTTAACTCGGTGCTTCCTGTGTGATCTGGAACTTGACACTTGAGCATACTACTATGACTTAGACTTCCCTATTGGCTGCAGATCCAATTAAATCCAAGATGACTATAAGAAGTTGCTCAACCTAGTCAATCTTTTGCTAAGGTGGTTTTTTCTTGGGGGGGTAGGTTGGTGGTTTTTTTTTTTTTTTTTTTTTTACACTGGCTGCTTATTCTTCAGGCACAAAGGTTGAACAAAAGCAAAGTGCTGTTGCACCGTATTATTTCTTGTCAGTGCATTGAAAAATCTACACATGTACATATGCTGCCTCTAAGAAGCAACAGAAAGGTAAGACACTTGGCACATCTTTTTTAAAATGTAGACAAATATTTATTAGCATAACTTTGTTGCTAGACTGAAAACAAATCCATCTTGAGATACATTAAAAGTTCAGGAACTGCTGTGAACCTTGGACATGGCAAGTTGTTAAGTAAGTTGTACTTCAGTAGAGAGTCAGGGAACAGTCTGCTTCTTCTCTGAAAAGCAGACGACTTGATTATATAAACTCAATTCCTTCCCAAGTCTGCATTTTTCTTTACAAGTGTAAGAAAAACAATAGGAGTTAGATTAATATGAAATGATAAAATCTTCAAAAGTTCTCTGAGAAAACCTTTTTAAGAAAATGCTTCTAATTACAAGGAAATGTCAAGGTATTACCAATGTATTGCCAAGCTCAGTTTCTCTCCAAAGCAATTACTCCAAACAGCAATTCTTAAAGTCTACTTCTAGTAAGAAGCTAAACTGCAACTAAAATTACAGATGCTTTCCTGTTGTTACATTGATTATACAAGTTCCCAAACACACAATGCAGGAAATCAAATCTGTAAGAAAACCCCTAACTTTTCAGTAAAAACTAAATCAAAAAATAGGAACTATGGCTTTGACTTAGACATACATAGAGTGAATTTTCAGACAGGAAAAGGATTTTCAAGATAACAGCATCCCCTTATTCAGACGTGTTAACTTTTTGCCTGAAGTTTTCAAGAACTTTTGAATTAACTTTCATTTTCAACTTGATTGTTATTGATTAACTTACAGACTAACTTCTAAAATAATGTTTTAATATGTTTTCCCCACTCTATTAAGGACGGAATGTTTCTTGAAATCTGCAAACTACAATAATACTATTAATCTGTGTTTATAGATTACCTTGTTAAGGCCCACTCTGTTTCTGAACATCTTGCAAGTGATATCTTTAAAATTCAAGTATGCCATGACATCCAACTGTTCACATAGTCTATATCAGGAGTTCTCAAACTGCATCATGTTTTCCACTAGCAACACACAAACTGGCTGCAAAAATTATGCAGGCCACCACTACCACCACTGACAAGAACAATACCTAATCCAGAACATAAT